CTCTCTCCCTAAAAACGTCACTGTGTGGCCCACCCATCTCCCCGCAAACAATAAAAACTATTTATTGGGGCAGTTTCCCCCTCAGTTCTTGGAAACTGATGTGGAAACTAAACATGCCAATCATTTCCCTTACATTTCTATAGCGGATAAAGCTTTAATGGTGCAGTGCTGAAGAAAGTAAACAATAATATTCATAATATATCAACCCCCTTGGTTATTTTTTAGAGGGGATGTAAGGATTACCTGCAGGAACGCTACCTTTTAATTTGTTTTGTATACCTGTTTTGACACAAGAATACACAATGTTTATAATCTGGACTCAGACCTGATCTGCATCTTTTGCACTATATTACCATTTGCACTGCTGCTGATATCTGATCACACTTGAATGCTTTTTTACTTTTTTGCTGCTAATACCTGATCACACCTGACTGCAACGTACTGTACATTAGTGTTTAGTTTTGCACTTTATTGATTTGTCCTGTCTTGCCTACGCATGGGACAGTAAGAAACAAATCTCCGATTCCTTTATATGTCTAGTACATGTGAAGAAATTGACATTAAAGCTGACTTTGTTCTCACAAAAAGCAATGTTGCTTGAATATTATTATTATTATGGCAGTAATAGTCATAGATTTTTTCTGAAATCATCTTTATAATTTGTGACACTTTTTGCTGTACATGAATTAATTTGAAAAATGTAATTAATATTCACAACCGAAATGTAAGGTGATAAACATCCAAAAATAAATAACCCTACTAAACCAATGCTCAGACTGTTGATTTCATTAATTTTATTTGAGATCCTGCATCGTCAGAAATTGGGTACATCTTGCCCAAAAGTAAAGTCTAATGACTGTAAAAGAAAAAATAAATTAAAAAACAAACAAACAAACAAACAAAAAGACCCTCAGCTAAATTCAGAATGTATTCCTGTCCCAACGCCAATTTCTCGCGCTGTTCAGTCATCGTCTTCTTCTTGCCGCTTCTTTAACGGGAGGACCAATCCTAAACTGTGCAACACCGCCCCCACAAATTCCACTAGTACTGCTCCGTTTCATGCAGTGGTAAACGCATCCACGAGCTCTATGAAAACGACCAGATTTCGCAGATGGTGAACGAAGAGGACACGAAAGGCTTCATTTGTGTAGCCCTGAGCATAAACTAGGCTTTACGTTACTGAACACAAAGCATGAAGCTTGGGACGTGTGGAGCCACTGCAAAATGTTTATAATGACAGTTTATAATGAAACTACTACATCAACGTTGTAAGGCGTTCACCAAAAATATTAATGATATTGTTTGTGATTGTTTTATTATTTTATTATTTGGTTGAAAATATGACCTGTTTGTATTTTTGTTGACTTCCTATCAAACAGTATTTAGGGTAAGGGATTGTGTGGTTACTCTTTAATATTATTTCAGTCCTATACTACACAAACAAATTGTGTTCACTAACTTGACTATAGAAACATCATGTTTCAAATCTGATCACATCAAAAAAGTCATTCTGCCCTAAAACTAAATTAATGAGTTTTTAGAGTGTGGGTTGAAATAGCTTTTGTTTCAATGCATACATGAGCAAAACTGACTCCTCCTTGTTGTAAACACTGGACTCTGGCTAAACCAATCAGGAGACCTAAATATTAAATGCTTGATAAATGTAAAACTAAGACCCATTTGAATCCAGACAAATGTTTCAAAAGTCTTGTCAAAATTAAAATTAAATGTGTTGTAGGTACTTGTAGTACAAATGTTCCTATGTTAAAAGTATTTATAACAATTAAATGTACAATTCTAACTGTATATTATGTATATTCATACATCATGACTAACAGTATTTAGACTAGTGATTCCAAACCACTGTGCCGTGGCACACTAGTGAGCTGTGAAAAATTAGCCAATGTCACTTAATTGGTCCCAAAACTATTATTTATTTATTGCAAATATTCTTTCTTTGTTCATCAATGCATGACAGGCAGATCAATTGAATCCTCTTCTGCTAAGTGGCAGAACCTAAAAACTAAAATAAAATAATCAGTCAATTATAGTCTATTATGAGATCATTTAAACTAGAAGATTATTATATTTACTTAGATATACTTTTTGTGAGATTTTTGTTTGTTGGTGTGTCGTGGGTTTTTTCCTGATGATAGTATATGCCGTTGCCCAAAAAAAGGTTGGAAAACTCTGATTTAGACAATATCATCAACAAGAAACAAATACTGTTATTTCTGCCTTTTTATAATCTATTATACAGAGGTTATAAAAATAAAAGCATGTACAAAGTGAAGTTATAAAATAAAAAATAATTTAATTATTGAAGGTTGCCACCCTGTAACACGACTGGTTTCTCTTCTTCTTGCTCCCATTCAATCTTCTCTTCCTTCACATTAAGCTCCCCACTGGTCTCCCACTTCGTTTTACCAACGTCCTGATGTGTCTCACCCACAACCACCTTCTCCCACAGCTCTCCCTCTCCCTGCTCCCCATCACTTTCTTCCTTCTTTCCATCCCACTGCACAGTGTGTGGGGAAGCCAGGGAGGTGACTGAGCTTATGGTAGGGAAGGTGTTGTCGAAGTTGGCCGCAGTCCCAGATGGACTGCTGGCGTTGACAGGGAGTTGGATGAACTGCTGCTGATTGGCAGTGGAGAGGTCAAGTTGGGGGAAAGGGGTAAGATGCCAGACCTGCAAAACAGGTTGTGTTTGCAGAGTGAGAATTAATCCTTGAGGTACATCCGTCTGCTGCAATGGTTCAAGTTTGTCACTTGATGCTTCCTTTTCCTCTTGACTGACAGAAGCCTGTTGAGGATTGGGGGGATCAGGGGCTTTCTCTGGGGTTGGGGTGAGACTGCTTATCGCTGAGAGCCCTTTAGCTGCTACATCTTTAGCTTTGAGTACCTCAGGGTGTCTCTTGGCCTTGTGGGAGATGACAGAGTATTGTTTCTCAAATTTTTTGCCACAAATTGAGCAGGAAAACTGGTAAGAGGCTTCTGCATCATGCTTCTTCATGTGCCAGGTCAGGGAGGATCTCTGTCGACAGGTGTAGCCGCAGATTTCACACCTGCCACGTGAGGGAGACAGTGTACATGTTATGCCAACGTGGTTTAATGTTATCATCAAATGCTATAAAAAGTATTTTATATATATATTTAATTAAACACCTACTTCAATGTCTTTTTTATTATTATTAATAATAAATCACTCACCTGGCTTTCTTAACAAATAAAATGTGCAGTTGAATATCAGTAGAAAAGTATGTCAAGAAAGAAAAATCAGAAATTAAAAAAACTTGCACAAGATCAATTAGGTAATTCGACAATTCTGCTCATGATCTAGCAGGTTTGCAGGTAAAAGCTTCTTTTGTAGAAGTGTTTGAGGACACTACGACACATTGAGCTCATAGCTCAGTTAAACTAGCATGTATTCTCAAGACTCACTGTATGGGCTTCTCCCCCGTGTGAATCATTTTATGTACAGCAAGATTGTGGGGGCTTTTAAAGGCCCGAGAACAATGCTCACAGATGTAGTCCCTTTGATCTGAAAAATAGGACAAAGAACATGAATTGCATTTTATCTCCTAGACTTTTTTTGAAAATCTCAGACATTATGAGGAAAATATTTATATTGTCTCTTGCTGCTTTTGACAACTAACCACTGTGGCGCCTGGCATGACGCAAGAGCTGCTCCTGGTGACGAAACATTCGCCCACATCTCGGTTCATTGCACACAAAGTTCTTTTTTAGCAAGTGCTGGTACTTCACATGGTGCTGAAATACAGACAGTTCAACATTTAACCAATTTGAATCAAAAGCATGCATTAGATCAGGCATGGGCAAACTACGGGCTGAATGCAGGTCGTTTGGCTTTTTAATCCGGCCCATCAAACTTGTCCAAATTACGTTATTAAAAAATAGTTACATGGAGGGCAACTGGTTGGAGTAGGTTTCTTGAAGACATTTCACATCTCAGCCAAGCAGCTTCTTCAGTTCTCTCGGATGAGCTGGATGACTGAGAACCTACACAGACATGTTCTATTTTCATTATATTCCTGCCTGTCCATGCAGTGCCCGCATTTCCCCAATAGATGGTTTAGAAAAGGCTAAAAGTATTTTAACCTTCACTGACTGACTTTTACATCAGTCATCTGTCATTTCCATCTCCATCTATCAGCTGGCCCCCCGTCAAATTTAAGGACCCATAGTCCCCCGCGAGTCAAAAAGTTTGCCCACGACTGAACCAGATTCTACTGCAGTTTGAGTTGGCATTACGGCAGACCTTTAAGTAGCGTGGACAAGAGAAGAGAACGCCACAGCCCTCCAGCTCACAGCGCACATACTGCACGGCCGGCTTTTTCCTGTGAGGAAAAAATTGTCTTTCAGTGATACACACACATATGATTGTATAACTGTATATATATATAAACATAAACACTAAATTATGTAAAAGTTTTTACCTTCGTTTAGGGTCTCCAGACGTTTTGTCACCTTTGCCCCGTCTTCCTTTCCTACATGTAACCGAATACAGATGGAGTTTGGCATTTTATTGTCTACACAACAATAATTTGAATCCTACTCTTTGTATGTGGAAGAATGCTGTATGTTGTGTGATCATTGTGTTGTGAAGTGTGTAAATATACCAGGTAAACAGTGTCATTTTGACTATAACATGCTTGACACTCCCCACATTTACATTTAGACATTTAGAAAAAAACTTGGAAGAGGATGTGATCAGAACAAAAGCCCCATTTTGTGCTTAAACACACCTTAAAAAATGTATTATCAATTGATCAAACATCAGTTCTGACGATTTCAAACTTTGCTTACTTCTTGACTGACTCAGGCAGATCAGCAGCATTATCCTGCATCTGTGCAGCAGTGCTGGATGATTCGTCATCATCGTTCTCAGAATCCTCTTTTGTGTCTTCCATAGGCTGCATCGCACATTCATTCCATTTTTTGCTAGAAACATACAAATGTAATATTGGCTTTAATATTGAGTGTTTACACCACAACATTCACTCTCAGGAAAGGGAAAATCAGCACTAAGAAAGTTCTTTGTACTCCTTTTAATTTCAAGAAACACTCACCTTTTGCTTTCTCCTTCCAGAGCTGTTGTTTCATCTCCTAAGAAACACAAAACATTATTTTTAGCTATGATGATTTGAAAATAGTACTGTGTTGACTACAGAGGCAACAGATTTTCTCACCACATGCTGAAGCCTCCGTCTTTGCCTCTAGTTTGCGGAGTGTAAAACGTCCATCAAGGCCTCTGTAGCAAACAAAAGTCATTTTACTTTAACAGTTTGTCCACAATGTCAATCAGTAAAAATTTATGTAGGTAACAAGTTAAAGTTAAGTTAAAAATAAGGTACAAATATGATACATTTATTTAAATATTTAATGGGTCAAGGTAAGCAGCTTAATGTTAGCAAAACAGTGTGCAGGCTAAAAGGAATGAACTAAATTAGTGAAATATATCTATTACAATGGCAAAGAAAATAACAGAATATCATTGAGCAGCAGATAAACCTAATTCCAGGCTCTACTTTGTGCAAACTAAGACTTTTCATACATCCTTACAATTACACACAACATCCTTATAATTATAGTAGTTCTGCTTATATATACATATAGATATCATAGAGATAATGTGGTATACTTAGCATACATACATATATAAATATATATATATAAAATCATAATAATTCAATTTAGAATAACAATAGTATAATGATAAATATAATAATAAATAATAATTGAGACTTCAACAACACCATCACCACACACCACAACAATAATTACCTACTCATCTACTAATACTACTAACACTAATCTATCTACTTCTACTAACCAACTAATCTACTAACATCCACTGTCCAGGTTTCCCATAATCATTGACAGTGTACTGCTACTCATGTTTGTATTATATTGTATTTATGTGTTTTTACTGTTATTATGGTGATGTACTGCTGCTGCTGGTGCCTATGTATATCTCGCGAAGCGAACTCCTGAGGGATTAATAAAGTTCTTTCTTTCTATCTTTCTATCTATCTAGACATCTAGCCTTTAATGTTTAATGTAATGTTGACACTTCATGTATGATGCATGGACGGACCTTGGATTCTCCTGGTGTTACCAGACACCTGCACATATTGATTTGCTCATTGACAATAGGATGTTGCTGTTTTCATCTGCTTTTTTGTTTTTTTACAGGTGGCGTTACCACATCTTGGCCAACAGAGCAGATGGCAGACCTTTGAGCATGCACTTACTGCGTGACAGGTGCGTTTCTGGAGCGTGACACTGCAGCTCTTCTGCGTACAGCAGGCAGACCTGCAGGTCTTTCCCTGCGGGTAGCATTCTCGGTGTCCTTAGGTACTTCAGCTTTAGCTACCCTGGCTCTTAAAACACGCTGGTAAGCTACGGTGCATGAGCGAGAGTCCAGGGCAGGTTCCATGCTCCCATTGTTCCCACTTCTGTCAGCGGTCCAGTTAGTTGAGTCCGCGGATGTGTCCGCGGCCTCCGCCGAGTCCCCGTCTGCTCTGGTTGCAGAGACTAAAACCTGGTTTTGATCCGACTCCATGTCGAAGCCGCTAACCTGACACACCCCCCGCTGAATTTTATACCGATTCTTCCTGATATTATAAAACGATAAAACCAAGATTACCACCTGGATGGAACTATTGTTAGCCTGCTAAGGCAAATAACTTCCGCGTCAACACACGTTTATAGATAGTGTCTACATTTTAAGGTAAAAAAATGTACTAAAGATATTTTGCAACCACTAACTGGTCGTAGCCTCTTAAAGCTATAGTAAGTCTCACGTTTACTTGGCAGAGACAAGGTCCGTTAAAGGTGCGTCTCCTTTAAGAACAATAGCTGCAGAACACATTCGTGAAAACACGTTTGGCCCAACCGGCTCCCATACTATGTAAATATAATTTAGAATAGCAACTGGAAATAATGATGTCTATCAAATCAGACATTTATGGCATTTTTGTGTAGAAAGGCAAGGTAAAAATCTACTTTACATGAAAAACAAACAACAAAAATAGAAAAAAATGCAATTCCAGTGTAAAAAATTTAACTTTAAAAAAATAATTTAGACAATATAAAACGTTGGAAGCTGTAAGATTTAGGTGAGACTGTCTGGTGACAAACATTTCTATTGATAAGTTGCTTTTATGCTTGTACACTAACCTGAAATAAATACTTTTCAATTACTCCTGTTATGACCATCTTTAAAAATGTATCGCTGGGAGAACAGACCTCAGGCTAATGTAATATTTATTTATTTACTTAACAATGCTTATAACCCCATCAGGGATCGATACAACAGTAGCGATTTGGCGGGGGTTTTTTTCTTTTCTTTTCTTGGTAAAACAGGACATTGTTAGTGAAACAAGCCAAAGTGGAATAGGAAACTAGGTGGAATTGAACCTGGAACTGTTGTAGTGCCCACTTTATGACATTTCCTTTACCATTTTTCTTTTTGGTGTTTATGGCACTTTTCTTAATTAAATAAAGAAAATTAGTCCTCTTTTATACAAAGACCATGTATATCCTGATCTCCCCTGTTGTAGCTGTAGTAAGGAGGGCAAGCTGAGATTTCTTTTATATTTATAATCAACAACAATTTGACATTTGATTACGACAAACAAATTACCGTGAACCAGGCTATACAGTTGTACACTGATTGTACTTTGTTTTTCCAATTTACTTGAAATCTATCACTAAAAAATCCAGTGGTGTTACTCAGTGTAAAAGGAGATGTCATTGTGCAAAATAATATAGCATGTATTATTATTATTATCAAATTTATATTATTTCTTTTAACTTTGCTTTTGCAAACTTTAGAAGAACAAAGAACTTTCACTTTCCATTTGTGTCATATCTCTAGGAGTCACAAAATCAAGATAAAAAAGCATCATAAATAAAATGGATTGTAGAAGAACAAGATTTTTGTTTTCAGACTGATGCTATCAGTTGACCATAAAGCCGTGCGTGTCAAAGGGATTAAAAAGATGCATACTTTTAGTTTTGTTTCTTCAACACAGTCTTGTGCAATACCTGTCTCACCTGTCAGACGACTGAATGACCGTTTAACATAAATATAATTACCAAAGCTTAATTACTACACTGCATACTGTATACACTGGGTTTTGGTGAGCAAGAAATTATTATATATGATATATTAATACATTATTATATATAAATATATATTATATACAGTATAAGTAAATATAATATATATATTATAAATATATATAATATGTTCTTCAAGACTTCCACCCAGCCAGTTCCATTAGTGGATTTCTCATTACTGCATTATGGTAGCACTTTTTGTATTTTGAATTACACATTTGTTAGATTTGTTTGTTTTTTATTATGTTTTTGTTTGTTCAGGAAAAAAGAATCTTTGAGCATTGTGACCCGATGTATCAAATAAGATACAAACTCATATATGGAAAATTATATTTGAATTTTTTTTGTTTTGTTTGGGACCAATAAAGGGTTCAAAGAATAGGAATTTTCTGTCAATTATTTAATGGTTTGGGCTTTACAGGGTTAAATCCCTGACCCAATAACACGTCCTAGACTGTTCCACTCAGGCAGAAATCCTGTCCAGCATGTTACAGCCTAGGACCAGGTCACCCTGGGCCCGAATCAAACAAGTTTGAAGAATATATGAGAAAGCTTTCACAATGATATAAAACACATAATCAAATTAAAACAGAATAAATAACATGGAATTCTAAGGCAAATACTGTACTGTATGTCCAGCAAGGAACACAGTCTACAACAACCATGTCCAATGAGCTGTACAAATATGGCACAAACAAAAAACACTCACAGTGTTAAGATGTATGACAAACAAAACCTGCTGTTGTTGGTATAAGGTGTTTTACTACAATAATAATAGGTTAACAACCCAGAGAGTGATTATTTGGAATACATACATATACTGTATATGTGTGTGTGTTGTGTATTGCAAATATTCAAATCTGTATATATATATTCAACCGTATTTGTAAATATATATTTGTGAACACACATTACAAACTTTGAAATATATTATTAATATATATGTTTACAAAATATTACACTATATTCTGTTTTTTTTCTTCCAAATTATCCACAAAAACTAAATTCTAAAATAGGTAAAGGATGGGTAATTAGAACAAATAAAATGGATTGTAAAAGAACAAGATTTTCTTTTCAGACTGATGCTATCAGTTGACTATAAAGCCGTGCGTGTCAAACTGATTGAAAACCTTTACTTTTAGTTTTGTTTCTTCAACACAATCTTGTGCAATAACTGTCTCACCTGTCAGACGACTGAATGACTGTTTAACATAAATATAATTAACAAAGCGTAATGCTTACTACACTACATACTGTATACACTGGGTTTTGGTGAGCAAGAAAAGCAAAGGAAATTAAATGAACAATTAAGCCCAAATAATTGTATTAAATTTGCTGGCTGTTGTCTTTGTTGCTACGTGCTAATACTGGACAATATTAACCAGGCCAATAATTGACCCTGGATATTTTAAATCTAAAATGTCCTCAGAGAACAACAACTTGGACAATGCTGGATTGAATTGAACTTCTCATAACTTTTTGTGTCCCTACAAAACAGGAAAGGTGGCAAATAAAGCGGAGGTAAAACAGAAAGATTGAACATTGAACTGTTTGTCAAGCTGAGTCCAACAAGGTTATTCTTAAACCTCCATTCATATGTGTTGGACAAAAACAACAAGTTGTAAATTATATACCACTGACATATTTGTAACCACCAGTCACACCTTTGGAAGTCACATATCACAATGTAACATTCTCTATCTGTCATGGAGGGCTCAGACGTTTACTGACACATCTGAACAGGACAAGACACACACACACACACACACATACACACACATATACAGACAGACAGGAGCAACATATTTTAATAAAAAGAAAGTCTGGTTATAGTTAGCAGGGTTGTCTTGGCACAGGGGTTCCCAAAGTGGGAGGCAGGACCCCCTAGGTGGAGCACAGCTATCATTGGGTGAGCTCAGCATGACAAATGAAGCTTTTGTCATGCAGGCCCCCTTGTCAAGACAAATCTAAAAGGAGTATGAATTAGTCTGAGAATTGCTCATAATGAGTTAAATGCATCATTTTGTTGTTATCATAATTATTTACTTCAACTATGGTAAAAAAAAATACTAATAATTTACTAGTGGTAATACATCTTCCTGTATTTGATTATAAGATACAATCGAAATATACATGCTACAGTTTATTTATTTAACATTCAAGAACAATGTACAACAAATACTTCTTTATTGCCCATTGCACACAATTTGACAAAATTGATTTATTGGGTCATGAAATAATTTTCATTTAATTAGATGTGGATAGATCCTCAGCGCAGTGATCCTTAAGATGTGGCCCATAAGCCAAAATCTGGCCCACCGAACCATCCAATCTGGCCTGATTTTTTATTTTATTTTATATGAATGTCCAGCCCCTAAAGTGTCTGTCCAAAAAAATGTTGTCCCCCCCGACAAATGTAGCTGTTGACCCATGGAATAGGGTTTCAAAAATGTGAATTCAAATGCTTTTGTTAACCGTACTTAGCCGTTTTTTTAGAGTTAAACTGAAGTCACATACAATTAGATTATGGAACGGGCTTCAGAGAAGATTGTATCCTTTAATTATTCCCCAGAAAGGGTGATGATAAAGATTCAGGAGAACTGAAATTTTCATATGAAGTGTGTGAATCACTTACAGACAGCCAGGACGCACCCACATTCACAAACACACCATTGAATTACTTTGAATTCTTTCCTGAGCTTAGGTCTCCTTTGAGTGTGTACAACAGACTGTCAAGTGAATTGTAGCTGTCACAGAGATAGTGAATGACCACAAAGAAATCACTCAGCTACCAATGGGCATCAAGGCAGAGCAGCCACTGAATTATGTCCACAGACTCGGCATCTGCATATCTGCAGTGGAAAAGCCAGTTGTGCTGCATTTCGGAGACGTCGACCAGTATGAACAAGATCGGCGTACAGAAATAACAAATCTCGACATAAATTCTCATTAGAATAACAAATAGGACATGTTGAAGTGTATTTTTTGAATTTAAGCATAATCTGAGGACATACATGTTTAGAACCACAGGGCATTTAATCACACAAGAAAAACCTCCATAATTATACAATAATTATCTGACTAAACAATGTAAACAATATCATTGGTGTTTATTTCATGCTAGTTTTGTTATCTTTGGTTTCTTTTTTTCAGTGAATCATTTTTGATGATGACTTGTCTATCTTGATTATCATTTGGAAATGTATCTTCTACCACATCATCGATGACAACTGAAGGTCCAAATACAACTGTTGCCTCAACTACACTGTTAGTTTCCACTAAGACAAATGGATTGATGACAACTGAAGGTTCAAATACAACTGTTGCCTCCAATACACTGTTAGTTTCCACTAAGACAAATGGATCGATGACAACTGAAGGTCCAAATACAACTGTTGCCTCAACTACACTGTTAGTTTCCACTAAGACAAATGGATTGATGACAACTGAAGGTTCAAATACAACTGTTGCCTCCAATACACTGTTAGTTTCCACTAAGACAAATGGATCGATGACAACTGAAGGTCCAAATACAACTGTTGCCTCAACTACACTGTTAGTTTCCACTAAGACAAATGGATTGATGACAACTGAAGGTTCAAATACAACTGTTGCCTCCAATACACTGTTAGTTTCCACTAAGACAAATGGATCGATGACAACTGAAGGTCCAAATACAACTGTTGCCTCAACTACACTGTTAGTTTCCACTAAGACAAATGGATTGATGACAACTGAAGGTTCAAATACAACTGTTGCCTCCAATACACTGTTAGTTTCCACTAAGACAAATGGATCGATGACAACTGAAGGTCCAAATACAACTGTTGCCTCAACTACACTGTTAGTTTCCACTAAGACAAATGGATTGATGACAACTGAAGGTTCAAATACAACTGTTGCCTCCAATACACTGTTAGTTTCCACTAAGACAAATGGATCGATGACAACTGAAGGTCCAAATACAACTGTTGCCTCAACTACACTGTTAGTTTCCACTAAGACAAATGGATTGATGACAACTGAAGGTTCAAATACAACTGTTGCCTCCAATACACTGTTAGTTTCCACTAAGACAAATGGATCGATGACAACTGAAGGTCCAAATACAACTGTTGCCTCAACTACACTGTTAGTTTCCACTACGACAAAAGGATCGATGACAACTACAGGTTCAAATACAACTGTTGCCTCAACTACAGCGTTAGTTTCCACTACGACAAATGGATCGATGACAACTAACGGTTCAGAAACCAATGTTGCCTCAACTACACCGTTAGTTTCTACTACAACAAATGGATCGATGACAATTGAAGGTTCAAATACAACGGTTGCCTCAACTACACCGTTAGTTTCTACTACAACAAATGGATCGATGACAACTGAAGGTTCAAATACAACTGTTGCCTCAACTACACTGTTAGTTTCCACTACGATAAATGGATCGATGACAACTGAAGGTCTAAATACAACTGTTGCCTTAACTACACCATCAGTGTCCACTACGACAAATGGATCGATGACAACTGAAGGTTCAAATACAACGGTTGGCTCAACTACACCATTAGTTTCCACTATGACAAATGGATCAACTACTGAAGGATCAGTTACTCCTAAGGCCACGACTCCTACAGGTAGACCTGCCACGGTTGTTCTTGCAGCATCCATTGCAGAACCGTTTGTTGAAGCCTTTAATGATCCAAACAGTTCAGAATTTAAAGGACTTGCAGAAAGAGTTGTGGCACTGGTGAGTATATGTCATGGTTTTAATCTGTGTTGTTATTTTTTAAGTTTTACACCTATAAATGTCTTAGTGAAATTCTTCCTCTTTGTTCCTTTTTCACAGTATGATTTCATTTACAGAGCAAAGTATGGTTTTCTTTTTATTCGCTCATTTGTCATCAGGTTCAGGTTAGTGTTTTTTTTAATATGGAATAAATAATTATTTTATTGTACTTATAAACTATCATAGTAACACCCCAATAATTGTATATTTATAATTATACATGGCTTTTTGTGCAGCCGAGCGGGGATAACACATTCAGATAACACTGAAGCAGAGATGGGCGTTGAGTTTAATGACACAGCTTCACCTGCAGAACTGCCCACGGCAGGTGATGTTGTAAATACACTTGAAGTTGCTGTGTTAAATCCCAACAACACCTTCAACCTCACCTTTGATGCCACCTCTATTGCAGTAGTTGGTAAGAGTCACAATTGGGTTTCCTTACAAAATCTACCTTTAGTTGGAATTTAGACCTTAAGGGAGCAGTGAGTTGTAATTTTTATTTACATTTATGCTGTTTTTCTTGTTTTCAAAGACAAAAATTCAACATCACCACAACCCAATACAACGGCTGCTGTGACTACAATTGTAGGTGTAACAACAACAACCACTCGACCTACCACCTCTGGTGGTTTGACTACAACTGCAGCTGAGACTGGTGCAATGACTACAACTGAGGGTGTGACAACTACAACCACAGCAACTGTCGAGGCAGTCACCTCAACAAGGTTGACTTTCAAATCAGTCGGGGAGTTGTTCACCAGCGATTTGCAGAATTCATCATCGGCTGCATTTCAAAGCCGAACATCACTGATCAAGTCATCAGTAAGTGTCCTTTAAACACATCATATTTTATTACTGTAATACAGCGGAGACAATTACACTTCTGCTGTATACAGTCATATGCATTCTTGTCCTTTGTTTCTAAGCATTTATAAAGTGAACGTCTTGTTATTGTGACACAGCACACCACTGCACATAACCAAATGTGATGTCTGCTTTAAGCCTATCACCAAAGTGAACAGTGGGCAGCTTTAGGTTCCCAGGGAGCAGTGTGTGGAGACAGTGCCATTCTAAGAGCACCTCAGTGGTAACTTGGCATCTGGTGGACTTGAACCTGAAACTGACTGGACCCAAATCCACTTCCTTAACTACTAAGCCACCATTTTATTTTTAACTATAGTTAAAAATAAATGTCATAATAATAAAGACAATTCTGCACATGCATGTAATGAAATGCTACTGTACTACTGTCTTACCAATGGCATTTTTAGGAATTGGTTGCATAGCCTAAAAAGTATAAACGAAAAATCAAATAAATGAAACTGGGAAATGTCTTGCTTTTCTCTATGTAGCTGACGCCTTTCTACAAGCAAGCCTTTTCATCCTTCCGCTCCTTGGATGTGGTGTCATTCAGGTAATTCACTGCCAGGCTGATAGAAATGGAGAATTCCTGTATAATCCAGTAAATAAAAACATGTTTTTGTCACAGCAAAGGATCGATTGTCAACAACATTGATTTTGGGGGGTTTTTGCCTCTTCCTCCGTGCCTGATGCCACCCAGATTGGAAACATTCTTGTCAGTGCAGCTTCGAATGTCGAAGCTTTCAACATTGACACTACCTCCATCTCTGTGAATGGCACACGTGAGAATTTGCACTGAAACAGCATCATCTTTTGTTAATATGACCTGACTGCACTCTAACAATACATTTTTGTTTCCTTTGGACAACAAAGTGGTGTCAAGTGGAGTCAGCAGCAGGATAAATCTCACTGCTGCGTTCTTTCTGGGGTCGATTTCATGGCTGCTGACACAACAGCTTTAATGGCAACAAAAACAAAGGTCCCATTTAAAATCACTGCTGTCACTGGATAAGAAAATATGGTGCCACACAAGCTTATCATGAACATACATGAATTGAAAAAAATCTAGAAGCCTTTACCACTCTATCAAAATAATGTAAGACATACGGTAATTTGCCAGAGTACAGTAAATTAGAATGTATATTTTTTATCTGCACCACCTAATGACTGGAGGCTTGTTATCATTCAAGCATTACAGCAGTGGTACACCTATGTCCAGCGAGCCATATATTACATTGGAATCCCCTCACCCCCCTCCCCCCCCGGCACCTCACCATGCCCCCCCAGGAGGCCCCGGGGTTACTGTTACTGTGTATTGAGGATGTCTTCGTAAAAAGGATAAATTGCAGATACCTTAATAACTTTTTGTCTAATGGATAATATGTGGTTAAGTCATACTTTTAAAAATAAAACATTATTGTATTCATTAGAGTATTGTTCTTTCACATTAACATAATAACATGTAACAAGCCCGCTTTTCTAAAGATTTCGCAGTTCCTTACACTTGGTTTCATTTCATTCTATTCTCTTTTAAACAGCAAACACTTTCACACTGCACAACTACAAATATTCAAAAGACTTAATAATTTACAGTAAAAAATATAAATATAATACTGCACCTAAAATGGTGTTTATGTGAGTTTATTTACTCAAATCCTCTGGCAACGTTAGGGGTGTATTAAACCTCACCTGCCAGCTGATGGGGTCTGTGCTGTCTCTTCATCAGCATCTATATGTGTTTTCATGGTTATTAACAATGATAAATGGGAGCAGTTGGTACATGTAGTGCTAACTGCTGGCAGGCAGTGATGGTAGAATTCCAAAAGATGAATCAAGTGCAGTGTGCCTCCTGTGAATGAAACAATGGTGACAATTCAAAAACCCTGAAACCAAAGGAATTGAGAACAGAATTACCATACAAGTTCATACACACCAAGAACCATGAAAGGGCACGAGTTACCAACAAACAAGTTCAGCTGTAGTCAAGAATGGATGGTCTGCAGGTGTGCGCCCAGGTCCTCTGTCACTGAGGAGAAAACCCTGCATAGCTCCACCCACACACACTCACACACAGAGGATCCATTCACCAACAGCCAGGCACCAACTCCAACAGGTAGGGCTGAGATAGCACCAATCATTAGCAGTTAATAAATAATAGTTTTTAGACCAAATAAGTGAAATTGGAGAATTCACTGAAATAATTGGATAATTGAACTGATGACACAGCAGCAGCAGTCATATGACACTATAGTTACTATATACAACTATTAACTTTACATGAAATTGTCAAAGTGTCAGTCAAACACACGGCGCCAACTCATGTTCAAAGTTGCAAGACATAACTTCTGTCTGTAGGAGACAATAACAGTGTACACACTGTGCTGTTGAATAGACAACGTACTTCGTTAGAGTTACTGACTAACAATACTCTGCTTTCACTCTGCCCACAGTATATGTACTAGAGGTTGATTTATAGGTTGAATAGATTTCATTTCTTCTGTTGTCGGACCACCTTCACAAAATGAGCTATTATCGAGGTGACCTTGTTGACCTGTGCAGCATATTTGATTCTTTTGGTTTGTTTGACCTTATAAAAAAAAAAAAAATTCTAGATGTCTGCAAGTCACCTTTGATGAAAGGTTCAATAAATAAAATTATAATAGAGACATAATAACAATTTGATAAAAAAACATTGTATTGTTCAACATAAAGAGGGAAACTCTTCCTATATTTTACCCAGAAATGATATTAAGGAGAACGGCACGTTAAAAATTTCATGACATTCGGTATTATAATAATAAAAACTTGTAATTTAGTGAGTCTGTTTTTACATAGATACAAGAATAATTCAATGATAAAAGGTCACCCCCATGTTATGTTGTTATGGTTCTACAGCTGATCCAAATGGATCAACAACACAGTGTGTGTTTGTGTGGCTCGCTGTGGGGACAAGAATTAGTAGCTCTGTCCTCAAACACCGAGGTTACAAATCATTAAACACAAACAAGAAGAAGTTTCCAGGAGTTCAGCTGGCAGATCACCTTTCACACCAACACCACAGGCATTGTTAAAATAAAACCCCACTTTGGCTTCACCCCCTCTGTCAGTGGACAAAAATCATTAGTCCATCATTTGGTTTAGTCACAAATAAAACAGTTGTGAAGCACACACCCCACCCTGCTGTTAAATGTCATCCTGTTCCTGCATACATACAAAAACAGTTTATTTGTTTATGTATTTATGTATAATTCACTTGATCACTTGATTAATTACCATTGTGGTTGATCTAAACTCACATAATGAACTGTTTAAATATTTCCCTGAACCTCACCTCTATAACTCTTTGCTGCCTATGAAAAAACTTGAAGTGCAGCTGTAGCAATTGTTACTGACGCCACCAGTGAAGGTGTGTTTTAATGGCATGTGAATGAGTCATGCTATTGCCTTCTATTTGACTGTGATTGGTGATAGATGTTATTATCACACAGGGCTAAACTTGCTTGTTTAAACAGTTTGCCAACATTTTTTTTCTCAGACGGATCTCTTGTAAGCACCATGAGCTCTTGAATTATTCTGTTCACTTCTAGAATTTTCTATGTCGTGCACATCCCAGTACACTATTACTTATTTGTTCATTTAGCATTTCTGATCGTCAAACCGGTAAAACAAATACAAGAAATCTGACTACATTTTGTTCTGGTGAACAAGAACAAAGTAAGGGAAGATGCCCGGCTGTGTTAGAGCCCGTCTCTGAGTCAACATTCTCTGGCTACATTATTATAGTGTGCGCACGCTCTCATGGAGTTTCTTTTGATGTTTTAAACCAAGTCCATTTAACATATTTCCATTTTTGTTGGCTAAGCTAACCTGTACACTTGTTCTTTGCAAAGTATTTTGTTGTTGTCTTGTTTTTTGTTGTCTTCGTATTTCATTTTTTAAAGTTTTATTTCATTACTTGAAAGTTTGTGTATAAAAATATCTCACTCCATTTGTTTATAATCATTTTGAAATGAGTCCTACATGTAT